GTTAAGAGTTTGTAAATCTTAATGATTTTTCTCAAAGAACCAACTCTTTGTTTCATTGATTCTTTGACTTATTTGTGTGTGTGTGCTTATATTTTATTGATATATAAAATATAGCACTAAGTTTGATCATTTCTTGCAGTCTACTACTTTTGGGTTGTTTTATTTTATTTATTCTAGAGCTTTGATGTGTATTGAAAGTTTCAAGTTACTAGTATGAGATCCCTTCACTTTTTTAATTATAGAAACTTGTGCTATAAACTTGCCTCTTCAAACTGCCTCTGGTATGTCCCATAAGTTGGAGTATGTTGTGTATTCATTTTCTTTTTTGTTCTTTTTTCTTTAAGTTTTTTTCTTTCCTTTTACATACCAACCCCTCTGTTCTGTCTCTCTCCCCCTCTCCTGCTCCGCCCTCCACCTACTGCCATCCTACAGGGCCCTCTGGATAAGTGGGACAGTTGATTAGCCTGAACTGTTTGGGAGGTCCCAAGGCAGTGGAGCTGGGACCTGTCCTTGGTGCCTTGTGTATGGGCTGGCTTTTTGGAGCCTGTGTTCTATGCTGGGACACTTTGCTCAGCCTGAGTCTACCAGGCTGGGCTGACTCCCCAGGGGAGACCTTGCCTTAGAGGAGGTGGGAATGAGGGAGGATGGAGGAATCTGTGGCTAACATGTGAAATTAAGTTAATTATATATATATATATATATATAATGGTTTATTAATTTAAACCATATATATATGGTTTATTAATTTAAAACAAAAAAGAGTTGCCATGGTCCACAAACACATCAAGCCATGCAACTTACTCAGCCTTGATGCAAGAAGGAGGGTCTAGGTCTGGCCCCAACTTGGTATGCCAGCCTGTGTTGTGCATTCATTTTCATTCAATTGTAGGAAGTCTTTAATTTCTGCCTTGGTCCATTATTCATTCAGTAGTAGGTAGTTCAGTTTTCATGAGTTTGTAACATTTCTACTGTTTCTTTTCTTGATTATATCCAGTTCCTATCCCAAGTGCTCATAGGGTGCAAGGTTTTACATTAATTTTGTTGTATCTGTTGAGACTTGCTTTGTATCCATGTATCTGGTAAATTTTGGAGAATGTTCCATGAGGTGCTGAGAAGAAGGTCTACTCTTTTGTGTTTGGGTGCAATATTCAACAAAAATCTGTTAGGTTTATTTGGTTTATTGCATCAGCTGGCTCCAGCATGTCTCTGTTTAATTTTTATTTTTATGACATTTCTACTGGTGAAAGTGGTTATGATGGTCAATATGTGATTTGAGCTGTAGTAGTGCTCCCTTTATGAACTTTGGTGTCCTTGTGTTTGGTGAATAGATATCAAGAGTTACAATATCTATTGATGGCTTTTTCCCTTAATGAGTATGTAGCATCCTTCCATACCTCTTCTCATTAATTTTGCTTTGAAGTATATTTTGTCAGATATTAAAATGGCAACACCAGCTTGCTTCTTAGGTCCATTTGCTTGGAATACCTTTTTTCATCCTTTTATCCCGAGGTGCTAACTATCCTTGATGTTAACATATGTTTCTTTGATGCAGTAGAAGGATGGATCCTATTTTCACTTTCAATCTGTCGAGAGATTGAAAGCATTCATATTGAGAGATACAAATGAACAGTTTTTTTATTACTATTACTTTGTTGTTGTGTTGTTCTCTCTGTGTGTGTCTCTCTCTTTGATTTGCTGCTCTGACATTATTTAATCAATGTGTTCTCTTGGGTGTGATTAAATTCTTTAAGTTTGAGTTTTTCTTTTAGCATCTTCTCTAGGGCTAGATTTATAGACAGATATTACTTAAATTTGATCTTATCATGTAATGTATTATTCTCTTCATCTACTGTGATTAAAAGTTATGTTGGTTATAGTAGTCTGGACTAAGTCTGTATGCTGTGAAGAGATGCCATGATCATGGCAACTCTTATAAAGGAAAACATTTCACTGGGTCTGGCTTATTGATCAGAGGTTTAGTCCATTATCATGGCAGTAGGCATGGCAGCATGCAAGTAAACATGGCACTGGAGAGTCAGCTGAGAGTTCTACGTACATCCAGATCTACAGAAAGTGAAGTATGACACACTACGTCCAACAATGTACTACTCCCTGTGAGCCTGTGGGTCTATTGGGCTATTTTCTTTCAAACTACCGTAACATTTTTCTTTGTTCTGTATGATTAGTATTTTGATTACTTTGTCGTGAGGGTATTTTCTTTTCTGGTCCTATATATTTGTTGTTCTGTATGGATTTTGTTATTTTATAGGCATCTCCTTCTTTAGGTTAGGAAAATTTTCTATGATTTTGTTGAAAATATTTTCTGGGTTTTGATCGGGGATTCTTTTCCTTCCTCTTTTTCCTGTTAGTCTTGGATTTGACCCATTTATGGTGTCCTAGATTTCCTGGATTATTTATGTCAGAAGCTTCTTAAATTTTGTGTATTATTTGACAGATATATCCATTTTTCTATTATATCTTCAACACCAGACATTCTCTCATCTGTCTCTTGTATTCTGTTGGTGAAGTTTTCCTCTGTAGTTCTTGTACTAATTTTCAAGTTTTTCATTTACAAGATTTTCTCAGTTTGTGTTTCCTTAATTAATTCTATTGCCATTTTCAGGTCTTCAGCAGTTTTATTCATTTGCTTCCCCTGTTTGTGTTTTCATGGATTTATTTTAGGGATTTATTCATTTCTTCTTTAAGGAACCCTTTATATTCATAAAGTCTATTTTAAAGTCTTTATCTTAAGCTATGTTTTAATATTCAGGACCTACTGTGATAATATTGCTGTGGTCTAATTTAGACTTATTGTCCTGACTGTTTTGATTGTGTTTTTATGCTGGTGTCTAAGTATCTGGGATTTGGAAGACAGTGGTTCTAGGCACTGATATCTGGTCTTTTCGTTGTTTTGTATGAGTGTTTTGTTCCCTGGTTTCTGTTGCCTTCTCTGGGTCTTAAGAGAATGTGGTGGCTATGTGTTGCCTGGTAGGAAATTCTTTTTGAATCCTGCTTGATATAGCCTTGGGAGATCTGTAAAATGTATTCCTAGGTATTGAAAGCTAACATTTAGGAATAAGGATAGGTTAGGAGGGTAGGTTGAGGGTGTCCACAGGAGGACAGAAATCAAAGTGTTTCACCAGGATCACCTTAGTCCCTTGGAAATAGTGGCCAAAAGTAAGAAGATGATACAAGAGGTAGTCTGCTGCAGAGCTTGGAAAAGACTTGGGGGTTGGGCATGTAGGAGAGCAGAGAGTAGAGATTTGAAGTTGGCCATCAGTTGTTGCTGGCAGGTTCTCAGAGAAAGCCTGCTGGATTTGGGGGGCTAGGAAAACAGGATCAGTGGGGAGGAAGTATGGAGAAGAATATCTGTATGATCTGTTGAAGATGATGGCTGAGAAGAGTGGGAGGTTGCAGAGGTGATATGCTACAGAGATAGGGGTGAGACTGGAGGACTGAATTTGGAGGAACAGAAGGAGAAATAAAGATCTCCAGTTAGTTTACCAGTTTCTCTCTCCACTTTCTTGATGTTTACAATCCTTAGTTCATGACAAACAGTCTAAATATGTCTCAAATTCTCACAGGACACCCTTCTTGACTAAACAGCAACATAATGTATAAATTTAGGAGTTTGTAGGCATGAAGTTATAAAATTAATCATTGACACACTGCTTCTTATAATATAGCTTTGTTATGTTGCAAAAGGAAGACACAGGCCTTTAATCCAGATATTGAGGTGGGAAGACACACCTTTAATCTAGACCAAACCTTCTGCAGGAAGCCAATATAAGAACAATGAAAGAAGGAGTATTTCGCTCTTTGCCTGCTTGTCCTCATCTTGCTAGCACATCCATTCCTTCACTGGTGTTGGAGCCTACTTCTTTGGGATTCCAGTATATACAGAAGACCAAATGAGACAAGGATGAGGATCTACTAGATTCTTGAACTTTCCATTCACAGCTGGCCATTGTTGTGTTAATGGGACTGCAGCCTGTAAATCATTCCAACAAATTCCATATATGTATATGAGAGAGAGAAGAAGGGGTGAGAAGGAAAGAGATTCATTCCATAAGTTCTGTGACCCTAAAGAGTTCTGACAAATATAGCACCCATGTCAGGAGGTTTGCAATCAATTGTAACTCTTGCTTCCCAGAAGGACTGGGATCCAACACTTCTGTCTGAACTTTGTGGGCACCTCTACTCACATGGCATTCATTCACTCAGATATATGCACATAAATAAACATGGGATTTTTAAAAAATATTGTGCCAGGTGGCAGTGGTGCAAGCCCTTAAACAATGGGGAGGCAGAGCCAGGCAGATCTCTGTGAATTTGAGGCCAGCCTGGTCTACAGAGCAAGATCCAGGGCAGGCACCAAATCTACACAGAGAAACCCTGTCTTGAAAAACCCAATAAATTAATTAATTAATTAAAAATGTTGTATGGGACAAATAACTAAGAAATATTTTTAAGTGTTCAACATTCATTGTCATTAGGGAAATTCAAATTAAAGTGGCTACCATCAAAACTCTAACAACAGTTGTTGATGGGGATTTGGGAAAAAAATGAAGCCTCATTCACTTCTCTGCAGCTGAACTCAGGTGGGAGGGCAAATTAAGACAGTCATTACATAAATCAATGTGGATATTTCTCAAAACATTAAAAGTAGAACGTCCGTGTAACCCAGTTACATCATTTCTGGACATATATTAAGACACTCTATATCCTGACATCATGACACTTGCACATCTGTGTTCTTTGTTGACCTTTTAATGATAGCTAAGAAATGGAACAAGAATAGATGTCCATAAACACGAGTCACTAACCATGGTATTTTATTAAACTGTAAAAAAGAAAAATGAATTTGTGGAATTTTCAGGAAAATAGATCTGAAAACTATAATATAAAATGAAATGACCCAAAATCAGGCAAAAATTACATGTTCTTTCGTATACAGACTCTATCTTGTAATAAACATATGCAGGCACATGCACACATACTATATTTTTTAAAATAGATATGATTAAAAAAAACATTGCGCAGGGGCCATGCTAATCTTCTCTGTATCGTTCCAATTTTAGTATATGTGCTGCCGAAGCGAGCACAACAGAGAGGGAGAACAAGGAATAGGAGACCATGGTAAATGAAGACCACATGAGAACAGGAAGAAGCAAAGTGCTAGAGAGGCCCACAGAAATCCACAAAGATACCCACACAACAGACTGCCGGCAATGGTCGAGAGACAGCCCGAACTGACCTACTCTGGTGATGGGATGGCCAAACACCCTAATTGTTGTGCTAGAAACCTCATCCAACTACTGAGGGATCTGGATGCAGAGATCCATGACTAGGCCCTGGGTGGATCTTCTGGGAGTCCAATCAACGAGAATGAGGAGGGTTTATATGAGCGAGAATTGTTGAGACCAAGGTTGGATAAAGCACAGGGACAAATAGCCAAATGAATGGAAACACATGAACTATGAACCAATGGCTGAGGGGTCCACACTGGATCAGGCCCTCCGAATGGGTGAGACAGTTGATTGGCTTGATCTGTTTGGGAGGCATCCAGGCAGTGGGACCAGATCTTGTGCTCATTGCATGAGTTGGCTGCTTGAAACCTGGGGCCTATGCAGGATTGTTTGGCTTGGCCTGGGAGGAGGGTACTAGACCTACCTGGACTGAGTCTACCAGGTTGACCTCAGTCTGTGGGGAAGGCTTTGCCCTGGAGGAGATGGGAATGGCGGGGGGGGCGTTGGGGGGAAGGTGAGGGGGACGGGAGGGGGGAGAACAGGGAATCCGTGACTGATATGTAGAACTGAATTGTATTGCAAAATAAATTAAAATAAATTAAAAAAAAAAAAAACATTGCAGCACTCGGGAGGCAGAGCCAGGCGGATCTCTGTGAGTTCGAGGCCAGCCTGGACTACCAAGTGAGTTCCAGGAAAGGCGCAAAGCTACACAGAGAAACCCTGTCTCGAAAAACCAAAAAAAAAAAAAAAAAAAAAACATTGATCCTAAGATCCTGGGTCTGTGCGTCAAGATCCTATGTCTTTGTCTTTTTTCTCTTTTTTCTATTATTTCTTCTTTTTTCCTTTCTTTCCTTTTAAGAAATTGTTTTCTGATTTAATTAAAATGCTTTTATTAATTCTTTGAGAATTTTGTAGATTGCATTTTGACCCTATTCAGTCCTTTCTACCAACACTCCCTAGATCCACCTACAATTTCATCCTCACCTTCAATGCATGAAATAAAACTATTCATTTATCCAATTATTAAATAATTTTTCAATTCTTAGCTAAACTTAGCTGTTTTCTTATATATAATATCTGATATATTATGGCTCCCTCTCCTGGCCACTTGATGCAATATTGATAGTTGATAGAGATCTGCAAATGCTCCTCCACATACAGTGTTGAGCGGTGAATACAAAATAATTCAGTTCTTTCTTCAGGTATAGTCATCCCCAGGAAACAGCAACTAAGATCATTTGTCTTGTTCGAAGGTTATGTGTAGCTAGAGTTTTCCTGCCTGGCCCACAGTCAGGACAAATCTCTCTCACCTGCCAGTCCCACAGCCGCTCAGACCTAAGCAAGTAAACACAGAGACTTATATTGGTTACAAACTGTATGGCCGTGGCAGGCTTCTTGCTAACTGTTCTTACAGCTTAAATTAATCTATTTCTATAAATCTATACCTTGCCACGTGGCTCATGGCTTTCCAGCTTCTTCACATGCTGTTTGTCATCGTGGCGGCTGGCAATGTCTCTGACTCAGCCTTCCACTTCCCAGCTTTATTCTCCTCCTTGTCCCACCTATACTTCCTCCTGCCTGACTACTGGCCAATCAGTGTTTTATTTACTAACCAATCAGAGCAACACATTTGTCATACAGAACATCCCACAGCAGTTATGTTGTGTCCTTTGTTGTTTTTCACAGTAGAGTCTAAATTCATTTTATTATTTTATCATTTGAACTTTTTATAAAGCCTTACACCACTTAACATGATAGTACTAATTAGAATTAGTGAAGAGTAGATTGAAAATATTTGAGGTCTTAGTAAGACATTTGTCTTCCAGAGGGTAGAATGTTAACCTTAAAAAGTCCATGGGTTAAACTTAAAAAGTCCATGGGTCTGACAACTGGCACACAGAAGTCTGAGTATCAAAATGTTAGTTTACTCCATTCCAGCTAAATACCAATATATCTTGCATTTCATTCCACCAGGTCTTATGTAGAGTGCTGGGCAGGCACTCCATACACACTACAGAACAGCAATTAATTTGTTAAAATATCTAATAGTTTAGTAACTAGTACATGTGCAGAGCTGCACACTATTGCATATACGTACAGCTCCAGGGAACCTGTTACACCATTCTGTGCTCTTTGGGCACCTGCATGCATCTGTGCTTACATAGAGAGGGAGAGACACAAGCATATACATTAATTAAAAAAAAAAAAAACATTAGTCTCTTTCTCACAAGAAAGTCAACAGCTGTGTGCTAAGACAAGAGAAAAGGGAATGTGCTATACCTCAGAAAGAGAATATAGAAAGAAAAGTAACCTGTTATTACAGTCTGATGAAAGCCTTTGTCTTGGTTAGTTTTTTGTTTCATTTTGTTTTATTTTTGTATTTGTTTGTTTGTTTTGTTTTGTCAGCTTGGTACAAGCTATGGGCATCCACAAAGAGGGAACTTCAATTGAGAAATACTTCCATCAGATTTACCTCTAGACAGGTATGTGGGGGTTTTGTCTTGATTAATGATAGAGGTGGGAAGGTCCAGTCCAATGTGGACAGTGCTGATCCTCGGTAGTAGTCCTGGGTGGTATAAGAAAGCAGGCTAAGCAAATCATGGGAAATAAACTAGTGAGCAGCATTTCTCCATGGTCTCTACTTCAACTCCTGCCTCCCAATTCCTGCCTTGTTGGAATTACTGCACCGACTCACTTTCATGATGGACTGTGAAGTGGATACGTAAAGTGCTTTAAATACTTTCCTCCCCAAATCCATAGCAGCCCTCCAGAGTTATCACATGGCTCTTATATCCACTTAGTAAGAAAGTCTTCTTAAGAGGAAGCTCTTAGAAGCATAGGAAAGAATGGACAGGAGGAGTTTCATGTTTTCTCTTTATTGGGTCTTAGGAAAACTCTTCCAAATCAGAGTTTTTCTCTCTAAGAAAAATGAAATTCTCTTAGTTTCTTTCTTTCTTTTTCTTTCTTTCTTTCTTTCTTTCTTTCTTTCTTTCTTTCTTTCTTTCTTTCTTTCTTTCTTTCTTTCTTTCTTTCTTTCTTTCTTTCTTCTTCTTCTTCTTCTTTATTTTTATTGTTTTTCGAGACAGAGTTTCTCTGTGTAGTTTTGGTACCTGTCCTGGCTCTTACTCTGTAGACTAGGCTGGCCTCGAACTCACAGAGATCCACCTGACTCTGCCTTCCAAGTGCTGGGATGAAGGACATGTGCCACCACCTCCCAGCTCTTAGTTTCTTATTAGCTTTAAATGAGAATCTGTCTCCCTCATAGTCCTCTGCGTTCTGTAGCCACAACAAAAAATTCCAAGTTCACAGAGGACTCCATTAAGGTGAACAAAAATAGATTCAAACTTTTAATGCCTTGGGGTAATCAATTGTTCATATGACCCTAGGCCCCTAGGTCTATATTTAGAAGTGGTGACTAGGGACCATGATGGTGGGTCAGAGCTACTCAGCAGATTCTGCCACTGTACCCTCACCAAATGGTGAGAAAATATTAGTTCTTTGACACTTAAACCCATGATGGTCATTTTGAACTGAATGATGGTCATTTTGAAATGATTAGCACATGGCAATTCTCTCAATTTCATGATTTCAAAGGATAATTACTGGATGGCAATCATGGCACCAGATCATACAAACAATACTATGTAACTTTGTTAAATACTGAATAATTAAACCCCAATGCAAAAGAAATTGAAACAAGTGGGACCTGGCATATAAAATTTTAAACATGAAAAATAGAAAGGTCCAATTTACAAATCTATATTTAATAACTTGATTTATAGGGTAAATAAATAAATTTGGTTTTGTGCTTAGGACTCAGATAAATGGTTAAAATACTTAAAAATATTAGAAAACAAATACATGAAATTTCTCTGACCCAAGTGTTTTGTTTGTTTTGTTTTGTTTCTTGCGACAATGGCATAGGCTGTCATCTAACTAAGGATCTTCCTCTCTCCGCCTCCCATAGCTAGCAAAGCAGATGATTTTTTTTAAGAAAATATTTCCCTACTTGGATACTTCTCCAATTTTTAAATAATTTGCCCTCCTCCCTGAATATTTAGTTGGAATTGATAGTGAATGTGGATTAATAAATTGCCTCTTTAATCTCTTTTGAGATTTACCCAAGTTGTTTCTATAGATGCCCAACAAACTGTAGAGAACCTAAGGGATTTTCTGAGTGACACACGATTTTCGATCAGAGAGATGAGCTGAGATCACAGAAGTGAATGCTTTATAGTTTTAATGCACGGCAACAATAGAAGATAAGAAACAATAGTATTTAAATCACCCTTGAATTTACTGTTTTGACTCTTACTCAACTTTACTAAGTGCAATTTTAATTATCATAAAGCATACTTACTTAAATGCCCAAAATATGTTCATAAATGAATATATAGAAAGCATGTTAATATGAATGTGGAGGTTTATGTTTAATGTACAGTGTACAGCTTTTATATATTACATATAATGAATATGTACAATGAAACTTCAAACAACAAATTAAATGAATAAGCATTTTACATAATAGCATAAAAAGAATTCATGCTGTATCTACTCCCATCATAAAGATCTTTGCAACTTTGAAAAGTTTTTTTGGGTAATTTTTCTTGACTGCACTGATCAAATCAACCCTGAACAATTTGTTTTCATTCTGGATTCAAGTATTTCATTTGTATAATCTCACATGACAGGAATGCATTTATGGCTGACTATATTTTCAAAACACATTTATGAGAAAACATGGAAAAAGTCATTATTTGTGATGGCATGATTGCATAAAATATATATTCCTAATAGGTAGAAAGTGTGTTATAAAACAATGGTGAATGTATGAATAGGGAGATATAAATAAAATT